AGCCATTTCACCTGCAACACTATTGCTTGTAGGTACATACAAACATATATACATACATACATACATACATGCATAAATAGTTACACATAAAAATAAACTCGAGCTAGTGAATCCTTTGAAATACAACAAACTGTTGGAACGAGGAAAAGAAGTTATAAAATTTAATTTAAAAAAAAAAAAAAAATCATCAGTACTTGCTTCGCCCCACCAGCTATTCTCCTCCCTTTCGCAATACGTTTCCATCTTGCACTTCCTCTTTCGATTCACACACAAAAGCTTCTTTTTTTAGCAGTTTCTACATTGTTTGCGCAGATTTTCTTCTTCTTTTTTATAGCTATATGTGTGAACATTAGGGTGGTCCAAAATAAGTAGTGGGATTTTTTTATACCGAAAACAATTAAACCCTGTTTTTTTAAATTTGAAATCAAAAATAATTTAGAGTTCGCTCGAAGTTTTCCATGTATTTTATATGGAAAAAACAATTTTTCGTAGAAATATTTTTCGGACGGAAAACCTTATTTATCTTCGGGAGGTTTTTCATAATAATACCAATTTTTTTTTTTAACAAAATTTTTAATATTAACTATTCTATATAGGTAGGTCCTCTAAAAACCCCCAAAAGTGCAATGGGGGACCCAACAAAATGGCTAGTATTAAAAAATGGTCCTATTACTAGAACTCTTCTGAAGAGAATAAAAGTTTTCCTGCGGAAAAATAGTGATTTTCAAGAATATAAAATGCATGGAAAACTTTGAGCGCTTTGAGTGACCTCTAATATTTTTTTTTACTTCAAAATAAAATAAAACAGGGGTATCATATTTTCCGGTACAGAGCAATCGTAGGGCATCGTGTGAGCATTAAAATACCGCCTTTACTTTTTCACATGCATTTTCGCACCACCCTAGTGTGCATATACTCATACTGTAGATCGCAGGTGCACTTTGCTCTCGCAACGAATTTCCAAGCGGTCAATTGTGCTTGTAAGGTACTTTGTAGTGTTTTACGTTTCTTTTTTTCTTCTTCTTGCAGCAGCAAGCTTGCTTCCATTTAATTTCATAATTTTTCGTCTGCTATAAAATCTTTTTCACAGCTAGTATATCCTATATGTACAAACAAACAGCCTTCAATTTGTTATATCCCCTTTTTGGCTAAGCGTGTGTTTTACAAAGTGCGCTTCATGGTTTCGTTCGCTTCGTCAGTTGGCTGAGCGTCCGTCCTTTCGTCCGTTTATGGCACTCATTCATTCATTCATGCTTTTAAATTCAGCTCTTTCTTCTCTTCTTCTACTGTTTGCTGTTTCTCCTGCTGCTGCAAAAGTATATTGTTCTGTGAGTTTTAGTAATTTTTTTTAAATTTATTTTTTTTAATCTTTACAGTGACCCTAATTGAGTTTAATTAGTACGAGTGACCACCAATGGCAGCTTACAATGTTGGTTGCTTGTTCAGTTCGTCATCGGTGGTGTGGGGTTGATTCTGGCTGGTTTGCTTCTTGGAGTTGTATTGAATGGCAATTGCAGCTACCTTTGTGCTTAGTTGAGTTGGTTGGTTTGCCCAAAAGGCTAAATTGTAATACCAGCTGAGTGAGCGTGGTGAGCGTAGTTGAAAAATGGTAAAATAGTAATAATAAAGCTTGTTATTATAAAAGCACATTAAATTTGTGCTTGCTGAGTACGATGACTGATGGAAGTGAATTGAGTGGAATTGACTTCTTCTTATATAATAACGTCTCTTTTTGGCTTTGGAGTCTTTGTTGTAAAACAACAAAAAATAAAAAAAAACGATGGTTTGTTTTAAGAGATAATTGCCAATTTTCAATTTACTTCAGGCTAATTTACACTAAGGCTAGCAGATAATGTTGGTAAAAAATAGTTTGCTAAAATGTAGTGGAGCAAAGTTTAGTTAAACTGGTGAAAAAGAGTAAATGGTGAAAGTAAAAATTTGAACAAATTTAAATCTAGTTGCAACAAAAAATTTTGATCTTTAACTGCTGTTCAACCATATGACGTACATATGACGTACACACCTTAATTTTGTAATACGCACAAAAATAAAAATAAAAATTTTAAACAAATATATACATAGGTGTCGCTAACAGAGTTTGAAAAAAAGTTGAAATTAAAAAAAATCCAGTTAAGGAATTTATATGATTAAGTTTCAATACATTGAGTTATAGCGGGTCAAAGTCACGTAGAACGAAATATAGATGTGTCTCATGAAAAATTTGGATGCTAATATTTTGAGGACCACTCTAATGTATGTAAAGCTTACCACCCTAGTGTACATCACACCAATTACCGCTCTGTTTTTCTTTATTCAGTATTCTATGCCTGGCGCTGAAGACCACATTCGGTAACAGCATCGCTACCTAGTTGCCCCTAAAAAAGCCTGGTTGACACTAATCCACGGTTAAACATCATTATCGACGTTACCGACACCGTGTTATATGCATGGAGTCGAAAACGTCGACAACGATGTTAACCGTTAATTAGTGTCAAACATACTTTGAGCAACCGGCCCTTAATGTTGAAAATTTTCGGGATTATAATTATAATAATCATAATCCTAAGGAATCAAAATGTAATCGTAATCATAAAGTGCTCAACTCTGAACTGTACAAATGTAATGTCGCTATCAAAAAATGCCCTTAAAAAAAGTAAAAGCTTGTTACACATAAGAAAACCACATCCTTTCACTTAGTACGGCTTTTTAAATCCAACGAACGAATTTTTAAAAATGTGGCAACCTTACTCAAAAAATAAACCATTACTGAACATCGAGAGGCTAAGCCCTTTAATTTACCACTTCACGTTTTGTAATTCAACGAACGGATCTTATAATTTTTTAGACATGGGGCAAACCTATAGAATTTCTCGCCCAAATCCGTTTAGTAATTTTCAAGATTAGCGTGGTCAAAAAATCTCAACTTGGCTATACTATGTAAGGAAGGCTATGCTCTTTCATTTGGTATGTCATTATGTCATCCAACAAATGGTGAATATTTTATTACCTTATTGCACATCTAGAGACTATTTAAGTCTGAAAAGACTTTGACGGTGGCGGTGCAGAAATGATACCTTCGCTTTTTAAGATGGAATATAGTAATTTTCTTAACCATTGGTAACCCTACTCAAAAAAAATTAAACATTAATTATTATCTAGAGGCCAATATGTTAGTTTTTTTAATCCAACTAACGGTGCGGATCTTATAATTAATTAGGCAGGTGGAAACCCTACAGAAATTCTAATGCCAAAGGTCACTCCCCTATCGATACATCGTCCAAATCCGTGCAGTAGTTTGCACGATTCTCCTTTATAATGGCTGCGTTTCTTTACACATTCCAGATAATGCCGTTTCACAGCCAGAATAAACAGAATGCGTTTGAAATATACGTTAACATATCATCAGAAACGTTCTAAAGAATAAGTAAACAAAAAAGTTTATTCCAAATGTTCAGAATGAATAAAGAAATGCAGCCAATATGTGCACATAGATATGACCAGAAAGAAAGGTTACTCATACGCCGTGTATTATCGTACATGTTCATAGACGCATACCCGTGCTCTTGAAAATTTAACTATAAATTACAAAACGCGTAAAATATCCGCCAAATTTTATTAATCTAGATATCTTTGGCTATAGAATTGTTCGATATATATATTTTTTTAAACAGCGGTGGCTAGCAGTGGCGATAATCGGGATAGTGTACTTAACTTAAATATGTAAATTTTATTAGTTCAAATTTATCTGAAAACAAAAAAAAAACACCATTGTAAGTTGATAAAGCGTTGTAGTAATTACCAACATATTTTGCTACAGAATTTTTTCTAAGACTTGTTGATAACTTAAACAATTTCAAGAGTTAGATCTGTAGTTTTAGAATTCATTAATAAATTGATCAATTTTTTTAAATAATTTAATCTTGCAAACGCTTTTCTTCAGATTTTATCAATTGTACATTTACATTACATTTGGTGAAAGAGTTCCTTAATATACCAAATATTCTATGTGAGTTGGAGGTTCTCTGGGTTCCTGGACATATTGGTATTGAAAAATGGCGATAAACTTGAAAAAAGGGGGCATCAACCCCTTTTATTGCCCCAGAGCCCTCCATTGGACGAAGCACAGAAGAAACTCATCGCTACTAGGATAGTCTAATAGATCTAGAATATTCCAAAGCACTTATAGGAACATGTAACCAAAATGCGATCAAAAGACCAAGTGGAGAAGGACTTGGCTTCACTTGCCATTTTCAATTGGACTGATGTGCTTTGTAGAACTCCACCGAAATCGCTTCGGCAGTTAAAGCGCCAAATAATAAGAAAGAAGAAGTCTTAAGACTCAATTATTAGCAGACTGAATTCGTATGAGCGATGCAGATTCTGCAGGAGAGATAATAAAATTGCGAGGCACATGTTCCATCGGTAAGTGGTTCTGATGAATAAACGCATAAGCCACGATAAATTTATGGCTATCGAACACTGTAGCGACGCTAAAATTACACAAAAAAACGCCGAGGCACGTAAACTTAATTTTGTTTTTTTTTTAGATCAAGCCATTTTCCGAAGATATTTTCATTTTAAGTTGGCATTGCGAATGAACAAGAATTCCGACTTTAACATGAAAAATGTGTGTTATTATGCATTTTCTTTTAACTATTCACAACTTTTTTATTTATCCATCAATTTTTTGTGTTTTTTCAAAACATGAGATTTTCACTGCAATATTATTTTTTAAAAGTTCGATTAGGAAAATAAATAACTTTCTGGTCAGATACATATTATCAATGCAAGAATTTAACTCACTTGCTAACCAGTTAATGTACAAAAAAACACATTTATATACAAATATTTAGCGATTGCGTGCAGGCTAAAACACCACACAGGTGCAGTTGGTCTCTTTACCTGCAGATTTGTAGTATTGCCGGTTTGTGGTTTCTTTCATATACATATACATATATTACTTTGTACTTATTTAACTGCAAAATTGTTGCTAAACTTACCATAGGGACACAAGCATTGGTATGAATTCCCTTCGTGTCCTTGTGAGAGGTCAACGCAGATGCCATTATTTGTGCATGGACTTGGCGTGCAGGCGTCGATCTCCTCACAATGCGGACCAGCAAAACCACTGCAGCATTGACACTCATACTCTTCCATAGCGGAATTCGAGTAGCATACACCCTTGCCGGAGCATTCAGCATTCTCGCCACAATTGTCAGTTTTTGCGGTGACCTTCAAACGAACACACTGTGAGCCCCACAACTCGGAAACCACTAAAAGGACGAAAGGAAAGTAAAGTGAATGTTAAATGTAAGTTGCAATTAAATAAATGTGTAGGAATGTGTGAATGAGTGTACGAGTAAATTAGTATGGTAAAGTGATTGTTGGTGAGTTGAAAAAAAAAATTAGAAAAAATAAAGGGAGTAAATTAAAATAAATTCATTACTGAAATTAAAATTTCAGATAATGCCTATTTATAAATGTATAAACTTGTACATACTTGTACATACAAAAAAAAATTGGCACCGACAGCTTAATTAACATCTCTCCACAGCTTTGTAATACTGCAGTATGAACGGATTTAATGAAAATAGAGCATACGCCTAATTCGTGGATAAATGTACATAAGGGTGGTCCTTACAAATATCAACATCTTAGCGTTATTCTGTTTGGCTTTTGGCAATATTTTTCTAAAAATTATATCAAATAACAAAATATATACTTATCTTCTTAAAACAATAAAAATTAAGAAACTAACAGAAAATAATACCAAAAAAGGTCAAATTGAAAAGAAGTAAAAATGTATTAAATTAATAACAAAAAAAAAAGTAAGTGAAATTAAAAAACAAATATTTTTATTTTTTAAATTATAGAATGTATATTGAAAGAAATTTACATTAAAAACCCAAAGTTCAATTATATATATAAATATTAATAAAAATACAAATTTTTCCTTTTAAAACAAAACAACTAAAACTGGAAAAAAACTAAAAAAATTAGAAAAAAAATAAATAAATATAAAATTAAGTTTTTAATAAAATAATAAAAATATTTTTTCATTTAAAATAATATCTAAAAATTAAATTAAAATAAATAATAATAAAAAAATAAGTTACAAAAAAATAAATAAGATCTAAAAAATGTTTATATTTTTCTTCTTGTTTCTAAAAAACCAAACATTATTTGTGTTTTTAAAACATTAAAACCTAAAAATTAAATGAAAGAACAAGATAGTTAAAACAAGAAAAGAGAACATAAAAAGAGTTCCAAAAAATAAAATGATAAAATATTTTTATTTTGTAAGAATAAAATCTAAAATATTAAAACAACATTAAAAAATGAAAATAAATTTAATTAAAAGAGAAGAAAATTAGATTAAAAAATAACAGACTCCAAAAATTGAAAGAAATTGAATTTGTAAAAAGAAGCAAAAAAAGAAAATTAAAAAAAAGAAAAAATATAGTAAGAATATATTTTTCTTGTTATAAAAGAAAATCTAAAATTAAACGAGTATTAAATGAAAAAGGTTCCAAATATTTAGTAAACAAATAAAAAATCCCGCTGCCCGAAGACTCGGATCGGACCTCGGATCTCTCGAATGGCATGCCAGTGCTTTGCTCACTAGGTCATTACCACTGTTAGAGCAGAGCGAGCAAAATAATATATTTACAGTCTCTATTTTTGGAACATGCTCAAGTGCTTTCTGTCAAATGAGCTTTTCACCATGAAAATTGGCAAGAGAGTATTTTTTGTAAGATTATCATGCCAGAATACTGTCTGCCTACTGTCTTTTAATTGCTTATAGAAGACGTGCAACTATCTTAGCCAGAATTTTCCTGGCGTTTATAGTTGGACAGAGTAAAAAAAAATTCGATACCCTGGTTGCGACCCCTAATTTTTTTTTTTAATTTTCACATTTTCGTCGATGTCTTCATTTTGTCAGTAGAACATTGTAAAGGGGTGCCACATGATATTGACATTTTAAGGGCAACCCTAATATGTATTTATTTATGTATGCTGACATACTTAGCCTGTCTATATATGTACATACGTATATATTACCGTTCATAATACTCGTAGCTATGCAGTAAATATGAGAAAAAATTACTAAAATAATTCGTGGTTGTGCAGCTGCTGCGTAAATATGCACATATGGAAAGCGAGCAAAACCATTCGAAAAATTCACTAAAAAGTTCAGGCAGAGCATCTACAGTAACATAAACCAATTTATAGTGGGACTGCGCAAGGTTTTCTCTTATCACTGATATGTTGAATTGTGGTCGGAAATTAACTGCGGATGATGTCTAGCAATTTTAGAGAAGTGTCGGTTTCAGCGAGTTCTTATGGGACTCTTTCATCAATTGGGATCTTTGTCTTACGGTGCGCTTTATCAGTTTTTACTTTGCCTCTGATAATACGAATCACTGCTCAAATAATCAGGTTTCTCATAAGTTATTTGTAGTAAGAAGGTAACATTTGGATGGAAGCCCAGATGGGTCATTAAGCAAGGTTTGCTGGAGCTGTCTTCTATGGGCAACTGTGCATTTAAAAAATACCACAAAGGAAGTAAAACCCATTAATTTTCTGGCGAACACCTTTATTGAGAGAAAATATGTTATAAACAAAAGCAATATCGGTTAAGGCAAAATTTATTAAAAATAGGGAAATAGTTTCGACAGAGGCCGGTCAATATTTTTTGGTATCAGAAGGCAGAAGAATAAATCGAAAAAAGAAAGTTGATACTTTCACTAAGGTTGGTCGAAGCCCGCCTTTGGTTAACGTGGTAAATATAGACCCTTATTATCGCATAACTGAGCTGAATACCAAAAGAAAAATCACTAAGGCCATTGTGAAAACCATTACGGAACAGCATCTTACTCAGGCGCAAGCAACAAACAAGCTCAGCGACATTAGTTCTGATTTCAATAAATATTTTACGAGGTGGAAAGAGAGCGGTTACTATGTGATTTATCCTTAGGTGGCATGAATTTTAACTGGATATGGGCTCTTTAACTTAAGAATAACCGTTTTTACGGCGAGCAATGTGTTAGGGTACTCGCTCTTGCTTTGATTTATAGCGTTCTTCATTGCAGCATTGTAGGCTTTAGTATAATATGTTGAAATTGTCTCATGAAAAGAGTGATGGAGATCTATGCCTTTCTTCGTGCTTGGTGACAATTCTTTCATATACCGTTACATATCAGTAAACGGTAGCACAAATTTTTTTTTGCGATGCAGCGTTGTTTTCAAGTATGATGCTAGTTCGTATATCAGAGTGAGAAATGTTTTATGTTTCAAGACTTGCTGTGTTTTTCGTTTAGGAATCGTGGCCAATGAGGTTTGGGTTTGCAAATGACAGTTCAATAATAGAGTTCCTGAACCGCGTGTCGAAGGTATGCGTTTAAAAATTCCAACGTAACGCGAATCAAGGTTTTAAGATAAATTTAGCCCCATTCCACACGGCGATTAAAAGTGGTTTGGAAACCATTTTTATCACGACTGCTGACACTAATTTTGCGATTTCGTTAAATGTCAAATCCTACAACTGAATCTCAATCAATAAATTTCAATATCGATCTCTGTTCCTATCTCTAGGAATTCTAGTAACACCACCTTTTATAAACTCGCCTTGTCTTCAAGCTTTTACAGTACTGAGGTTGTTGCTCATTGGTTAATATGTATATGCTAAGCATCTCTGCTAGCCGGCAATCTGCGTGCACAAACGTACATTAAATTCACGTGCACTATAAAACCAACATAAAAGCTTCTTTTTTTTTGCTTTTAAAACTGTACTAAATATAATGGCGAACAAGTGCATTCAGCTAGTCGCATATTAGCCGCGGCGTATACAGGCCGCATTTAAAGCAATTCGCACACATACACGCAGCCATATCAGCATAGATATGCGTTCATAAAACTATTTATGTACGTTTGCGTGTACACAACCACATGTTTACTATTTATCAGTATACGACCAAGCAAAGCACCATCACTACATAATACCCGCCCCTTATGGTGTTGGTTGGGTGGAGTTGTCACTCTTGGTTTGGTTCAACCGGAAACACGCCGCTTTGCCGGTATGAGCAATTTCCGCACAGCGACCCTAACTAACGCTGCTAAAATGCAAGTGTGCTAGCTAATGACAACAACAACAAAGTGTTGCAACAAAATCAGTGAAAGATAAAAGTAGTGTACCAGGTAATAAACAGCAGTAACACACAGCAAATACATAGCAGCATATGCCAGAAGCTCAACGCAACTCAGCTTAGTTTAGCTATGCATCGAATGGAATTCTAAAGAGTTACCTACTCACCAATTAGCAAGTTGACTCCCTCGGTAAGGTCCTTATCATAGAGTGTCACCAGCTTTCTACCATCGACAAATAGCGGTGTTATATCCAGTAGTATACCTTCGGTGACATCGCAATGCTCATGTCCCGAGCGTGTCACCTGATAGACTTGTGTGTTGTGCGCACTGCAAGTAAATGGAATACATATATGCATTTGTATTTATTTATTCATATACATGCATACATATACATATATGTATGAGTACATTTGTATGCTATGTATAGTTGATGTGAGAATCAATGGAAATGCATACAAAGTGGAAAGTTAGAATTTTTTAGTTGGTTAGTTGTTTGGTGTTTGCTTTGAGAAAAAATAAATAAATAACTAAATAGGGTTGTCATGACAAAGTGACATGTATGTATAAAGTTAAAATGTATTTCTGCATAAAATGTAGTGAACATTCACACTTACATACATACAAACATTCATCCATCTAAATATATTGGCTGCAACAGTTAGTCGCTTGACACCATGGCGTAGCAGTGAACAAATGCATTGAAGCGTTATGCAAGGGGTATGTACATTCATATGTACCTACATAAAGTTTGTAAGTAAGTTGATTTTTATTACGACACTTGAGTACCGGAGTGACTTGTCTTACTTTAGGGTGAAAAATAAATAAATGAATAAGTAAAGGCAAACCACATAAAAGTAAAAAGAAATATACATACTACTGTATCTTTGTGTGCTAGAGTGATCCACAAAAGCGCACACTTAACCGTGGTGCTCTCAATTAGTATCGAGCGTACATACCTTGAATAACCGGGGAATGCATTGAGGGCAGTGTTTGCCATTTGAAAAAGTGTTAATTTAGAGTTGTAGTGTTGAGTTTGCTGCTCTTTGCAATTGATGTTATGTTGGTGTAGGGAGGTGTGTTCTTAGTGAATGTTGAAGA